CAACTGGCGTCATTTCGCCTCTCCGATTCCAGCGGGGAATAAGTTTGTTTTCATTTTTTATATTTTGTTTGTGCTTTGAAGTTTCTTTAGCGGTTAGATTTGTTTTACGGGGTAGGGTTGCTAGCCCTATGCCCAACCTTCCCTCTTTACCCGGGCTTAGGACCGGCTAGTAACTAGTAAACTAGTTAACCAGGCGAGGTTAGGATAAACTTCTAGTGAAATCAAAATTAGAAAAAATGAACACCGGCTTCCATTAGATCCATTAGAAATCCAGTGGAGCTGAAGAAAACTTGAAAACATTAATCATTACTCTACATGCTAATTTCAGGTCACAAGATCGACTCATTGATAATAACGAATTTATTCAAAAAGGCTTTAGAAATTAGAAAGAACACCTCTTAGCAGAATCTCCTCACATAAACTGGAATCAAAATTGTCTACACAGGAATGAGCGAGTAAAACGTAGTTTCACCCGGTTTCAACCCACCCCTACATACTAACATAAACCAACATACAAACGATAAGAACTATCAACACAAGTGTACATACAAATCTCAATCTGTAATTCATACACCCTTCATATACAACATACTACATATAAATATCATCTTTATCCTACAATTCTGACACAATCATTCATGCAGAAGAACACCTATCAAGTTATCATGCATAAGCTTGGGGGATATTGTAAATTTCGGTTTACTATGACTTTGATAAAGCAATCAGCGCTAAATAGCGAAACGTCAGTTGAAACAAATTTATTTCGTTTTACATTTATTGGGAAATACAAATTCCAAAATAATGAATATCATTCACCAAACGCCTAAATTTTTTTGAACCATCAAATCCCAACTTGGTTTGGATATCTATAATCTGACTTTCCTTTTGTACGCAAAACTCTACATCTGACTTCTACGTCACTCACTTAGTGATACCACAACATGGTCTGGGCAACGACTGCAACGGTGACTCCATCATGCCCTCTACTTACAATGACCATGTTTATAGCTACATGGCAGAACAAAACGAATCGCAGTACGGTACACTCGACCCTTATTAGAAAGTCCGGTATCGCGGCAGCCCCATAGATGGAGTAGTTTAGAGAAAGCCAATACAACCGTTTATATCCGTGCAGAGATTTCGTCAGCCACTGAGCCACCAGTGCTGATCCCACTTCCCAGGTAAGTGTAGTGGTCAATGCACTCAACAACTTCACTCTCTATTGTTAGACAATGTAGTGTAGAATACCAGTCCTCGAGCAACAATTTGCATTTGTGTAGTGAGAAACGAATCCCAAACGTTCTCAGATTGCCATTCAGTGTTCAGAATATTGTGTTTTGTCAGCATCTCCACCCAACAGAACTATGTCATCTGCGAAGTCTAGATTTGCCAAGGATTCTCCTGTGATTGGATCAATTTCTGGAAAGACAGATGACGAGAGGGGGACCTCCATAAGAACGTCTACGACAAAATCGAAAAAGGGTGGAGAGAATGGGTATCCTTGACAGACACTACTCGATGCTCATCCAGCATCTCACCATCGGCTCTAACACGTCCACGGGTGTTCTAGTAAACAGCCTCCAACAGAGCGATATACTTATTCCGTACCATTTTCAGTGACACTGAGATAAAACTTCTCGACTGAGGGAGTCGAACGCGGCCTTCAGGTCGAGAAATACTGGTAGTGTCGTGCGTTGGTAAATGTGCCTGTGTTACACAACCCCAGAGAGTGTGAATATCTACTCGATACACTCACGACCAGGTCTGAAGACTGCCTGGTTTTATCAGGCTTGCGGTTCCTGAGTTCTATTCAGACCTCTAATGATTATGACCTAGAATCCTAGACACTATATTCATTAAGATGATTTCTCTGTGGTTATCACAGCAGGACTTCTCACCTCTCTTGAAGATTGAGAGAATCAGTGATTCAGTCCAATCAGAGGGATTTGTATCTGACTCCCACACACAAGTTAACACTTCAGTTAACTTGCCTAAAAAGCATCTTACTTAAATACCTTTTGAACTAGTCCGTCTAATCCTGCTGCTCTTCCTCGTTTAAAATTACTCACAGCCTTCTCAATTTCTGCAAACGTTGGAGATCCTATCTCGATGTTCCATTCAGGCTCCGACTGGATAATGGACAACGAAATAATAGCTGAAGACCAGTTGAAGTGTTCCACGTGTCGCCCTAGTCCTGTCCCCTGCGAGGGAATTGCAGACCTATCCTTTTCTGTCGTCTCACCAACCATTCACTTTTTCGCCCCAGTTTCCTTGCTAAGTCTGAATAACTGTCTACTGTTACCTATCGCCACCACCTTTTCTATCGCTTTAGCCTTCGATATCCACCACTGTTCACGGTCATTGCGTAGACATTTTTCAGTTTATGTTCAAGCTGTATTCGCTCCTCCTCCTCCTCTTCCTCCTCATTCGGAGACCGCAGAGATGAGTTCAAGTGCATAAGCTAATTCAGTAGAAACGGCTGAGATTCACTGGCTCTTTTAGTCACTCTCTGAGAGTCAGCTACGATCTTCAATGTTGCTTTAGTAGTAGACTAGAGATGGCGCCACGATTCTTCTCAATGAATGACATTGATCTCTATCGATAACTATCATGCCAGCTTCTCACTAAAAGCGGCCTTATTTTTCTCATTGTCGAGCTCCTTTCTAAATCGTCTTGTTGCTAAATTTTTCCTGCATCCATTGGGACGCAGAGATACACGCGATCGAACCAAAGCACGGTCACTTTCCAAACACATGCTCCAGAAGGAGCGGGAATGTTCCACTGACCCTCTCCAGCGATGACTGACAGTAGTGTGGTCCATATGTGCCTGCCTCTGAGCTTGGTGAACGTCATATCAGACAATATCTCTCTTTATGTCTAAAGTTCGTGCTAGCCAGAAATAGGTGGCTGTTTCCGGAGCACAGTAGTAGTAAGTGATCGCCGTTATCTTTTTGTTCGGCTGGAATTCCGAAAGTGCTATCTAAGTCCCTTTCTGGCTGATTAAGTGTGCTCACTTTTGTGTGGAAATCACCCGAAACAATAACCACATTTGAGCGCTTGGCTTTCGGTAGGAGGTTAGATAGTTTTCGGTAGAAATCATCCTTCACTTCACCTGAACTGTAGTCAGTGAGTGCGTAAGTAAAGATTACAAGGACACAATGGCAGGTTTCCCTATTCCCTTTTGTCCTCACTGTTGTGTTCAGTCAAACAGAACATAAACGACTGTCAAATGGCAGCCAGCCGAGCACAGATCTTTCTGCTTTAGCTCTTAGTGTTATACTTACACCTGTAAGCACACATACATGGCCCGAGTTGAATTTTGGCTGATGAAGCTCATTCGCTGACTTAACGGAGAGACATTGGAAGCTCTAATGTGTAATTTGGAGCGCAGTTTCAGGAGACTAAGGGCGCTATTCTGTAAACTCAGATCGTTGTCGAGAGCTGTAGATCTGGAAGAAATTAAAAATGACGTAGGATAACTGACTAAGGGACATGAAGGGAGATTAGGAGTTAAGGATGTAGGAGGTTGACAGCAATTTGAGGGAGCTTGAGTGCTGACAGAGTTGTGAGGGCGGTTGACACTTCCTGGCAGCCCACACTTACGAAGGTTAGGTCTTCCTAAGGTACCTGAAAGAGAAAATGTTAGTGAACACACACCCCATGGGAGATCTGCCTGAGGCCTGTCACAAAGCCTTTAGATGGTTATTGGTTCGAGGTTCAGGTGTCGTAACGCCAGACAGAGAGAACCCCATACCGGCGACCCGGAAGACCATGGGGCAGGGACCTTTTCTACCCTTCCCCTCATTCCCAAAAGAAAGCAGCACAAGCGCAGGACTACTGGTCGTCCACAAGAAACAACTTACTGCTGTCACACCCCAGTGTAGCAATTTAAACTACAACAATAACTGCTTTTCGGTCTACTACTATCGGACAGACCTTTCTGGCGTTGTAGGAACTCGATGGAACAAGTGTTCCAGCAAGCATAGCTCTTTGGATCATTGTGACATACAAGCCCAACCACCACGTAGCACCTATAGGCAAAGAATATTAATGGTATCGGTGTATGGCTGTTCATACTCATTAAAATATCTATACAAGCATAGATATATGCAATTTTCAAAAATGTAAAAACTCGAATACAAACACGGTGGTGATTGCTATTTGACAAATGAAATCATCTGGCAATACCCAACTTAAAACGTTTCACAGAGAACATATAAGTGATTTCATTACTAAACATTGTTTATCGTTGTGTGTATTCCATCCCTTTGTTAGCTTTCAGAGTTGTCCAGTTTTCGAAGCAGACTGAATTTGAATGAAAACTGTTTAGCAACTCTATTTCTCAGAATCCCTGTGCACCTAATAACACTCTTATGGATCTGATCATGTATAAATTAACATTTATCTTAACTAAGGTGATATATAACTTCAGGTTGTATGCAGTTGATGAATATCCATGAAAAATGGCATTAATTTATTCTGTAAATCTGTTGGACCTTACTTGTCAAGGGAATGAAATGTATGAAATAATAATACGATTTCTTTTGCCCATTTATGCTCCAAGCGATGTGCCACACCTATTGAATGCGAGTAAATGATAGCTATCTGGCTGACCAAACTCGGGTAGGTAGGGGGGTAGGGTTCCGAGTCGTAACCTATCGGTTGGAAATCAAGTGCCTAGATCGATAAGCAACCACTCCAGATATTCCAATGTAATGTATTATTTATTTTCCTGAGACATCCACCCATAAAAAAGAGACTAAGTACATAGTTGATGACAGTGCTAGGTAGACGGCTAACAGACACAGGTTATACTTTATTTTGTATAGGTGAATCCATCCCTTAGTTCATCAGTATTTCGCATGCTGCTTTTCTCCTAAAGCAAATCAAATAATACAAATGTACTAAGTGTAACAAAAGTGTACACCACTTACACTACAACAATGAATACAATATTATGAATAGTCATCAAACAGTAGTTTTACAAAATGCCAACCTACTGCATTATGTCCAGTGTTGAAAGCATCACAGTGTTGAGAAGATGCATGTATTGTAGATTGAGAATGATTAGTATTACCAGTATTCCATGAGCTATTTGTTGACGCGGATATAGAAGACTGAAGACTTAACTCGGATGCATGACAAGATAGACCAATGCCACTGGAGAAATTATTACTATTATTGGAAACTTCTAGTCCACTTCCAGCAGTAGAATTTTGTTTAGTTGATCGCAGTGTACAGCGAGATTCAGACCGACTACCAAAAGATGTTGAGTATTTACGATCACATGTAAGGCTAGAAGTAACATGACCAACTGCATAATCTATTGCTTCTTCTATATCATCTGGAATTTGATTTGGATCATAAGAATTGTGTGTAATGGCTAGAATGCATTCTTCAAACATACTGACATCTCCGAAGATAGCTAATTTTGAGTCCTTAAATGGATGAAATAGATGAGAAAAAAAGTGAAAATTAAGTCCAACAAGAAACAACAATAACAGTTATGGTAGAAATATATATGATCACAAATGAAACCCAATTCTGATACCCAGTGAAGTGGAAACGTTTTCCTATAGTTTCTCTATAAAACTTACATGAGTCAAACAGTATCTTATTTTCCTGAAATTTTATGGATTTTTTATATGTAGGGGGGGGGGCATCATTACCGATATCAACAAAGGATCAGGCATTACTGCATAACGGTCTAAGTCACCACGCATCATATCAGCACAACGAGTTACAAAACAACAGGATGTAAGATGAGGAAAGAAAGAAAAATCGATCAACAGAAATAAAAGAGAGAAAGGACGAATGAGGAAATACTGAATTCAGTATACCGGTGAAGATGAAGATAAAATGTGGATACACCTGCGCTACTGTTATCGATTCTGATCTGTATCATCTAGAGTCTCTAATCATTGGTTTCTGTGGTGCCGGGGACCCCAACCGGCTAATCTGCACCTCCCAACATGGCTTAGGCAGGCCAAAACCCAAGAACCTTATGTAGTGCTTTATTCTGGCTACCCTAAGCCTTTTTTTCAGCCTGTAACTGCTTCACCTAACAATGTGCGACGAGGAGAACGGTGACTGGGCATGCGCAACACATGTCCCAGTCATTTGAGTCGATGACAGTCCTCAACCATATCGATTGACTTTCCTCTCTTCCCTAAAACCCCACACCTAACTCCCGCGTTACTCACGTGGTGAAATCACATAAAGCGTTGAATAATACGTTAATAAATCTAGAATTATATGATGATTCGATAGTTTGATCTCAGATTCCGTGAGAATATAGCGCGGTAATTGTTATTCACTTCCTACTTATATGAGCCGAGTTCAAATATCAACCTTTACATTTACTTTGCAAATAACACAAATTCATTTCAAACTGAGAACAGAGGTCAACGGATGACCGGAATGGGGAGTTAACAAACGTTATATCAGTTAAGTAATAAACTAGTGAGTTGAAATACGGAAACTCGGGTCAATATGAATTTTAATTAACCTGTAGACTTTAAATGAAACATGTGAACAGGTGAAAAGCGAAAAAACCGAAGATGCTCAGAAGTTGTTCAGCACTTCTGTATTTGAAACAATTTTTAAATGATGAAACTTGTCATCAAGTCAAACAATCTCCTGAATCCAAATGATCATACAGCTTAGTGTACTATTGATTATGAGAATCTTATAAGTGAATGCCTTTGCAGATGAAAAGAATCACACTTGGTCATTCATATAAGCTAAGATATATCTACTACGTAGTTATTGAACACTGAATGAAATAGATACAAATTTTGCAATTCGGTTATTTATCCAACAGACACTGATAGACAGTCTGCATTTTTATCAAATGATGAGGCAGAGAGTGGAAAAAACAACCTCTAAGTGATTGATCATGGGAAGTAAGTACCTAAACAACTATGCTTTTCAACTATTCATACAGATAATTATTGTACGGGAAAAAAACTTAGGACTTTCATGTGAAAACTAATGAGTTTCAAGTTTTAAATACAACTACCTTTACAATCATTCAATCCTCATTTTGTTGTTGTCACACGGTACTTGAATAAACACATAACAGATATCCCCCGAAAAATAAAACACTCGCTTAGAAGGGAACTTAATCATGAACAATATTCGTTTGGTGCATTGGCTCGAAAATTTGTCTTTCACACAATGAATCCTGGATTCTAACACATTCGACCTAGGCAACTACGTATATATGCCTAAAACTTTAGTACATAGACGTCTATCATATCAAGTAAAGCATTTAGATTCATACCGTAGACGGTTGTGGTTAACTGGTGATTCATATTCTAACAAACAATTCAAAGTTCAATTAATATGAAACAACTGAGATAGCTATTTTGCGTAGAAACATCTAAATTTATAGATGGTGGTTTACTATATCTCCGGTATAGGTGTTGCGCCATTTGTACTACATGTGTTGGATGTTGATTTGATGAAGAAAGATTCAGTAATCAATCTCTCTACCTCTCTCCATCTAATTATATTGGAGTGAAGCGGTACAGTGGCTTTATCCCACCTATTCTATTGTGTGGTTGTGTGTTAATGCATGCATTGCAATAGCCGAGTTTTTTTCTAGATTATTGATCTTATTCAGTCACTGTTACTGTATACTTAGCAAAACTCCAGTGTTCAGATATTCTAACTGACCCTCACCGACTAGTTTGACCTATATACTTAACATCACAGTCACACCAACACGACTAATAACGACAATACGAGTAAAAAGGAGTTCACAACCCCCATCGTATTACCCTATTATAAGCAGGGTATCTCAGAAACTTTACCTAGAATCATCAACACAGCTGGAATTAGGGTGGCATTTAAACCTACAAAATCATTCAGAGATAAACTTTGTCAGCTGGCTTCAGGATCCCACAGAACCAATTCAGCAAAATAATATAATCTATCAAACACTATGTAATGAGTAAAAGGTCAAGTATATAGGTCAAACTAGTAGTCGGTCAGGGTCAGTTACAATAGCCGAACATAGCAATTTTGCTAAGTATACAGTAACAGTGACTTGAATAAGATCAATAATCTAGAAAAAAACTCGGCTATTGCAATGCATGCATTAACACACAACCACACAATAGAATAGGTGGGATAAAGCCACTGTACCGCTTCACTCCAATATAATTAGATGGAGAGAGGTAGAGAGATTGATTACTGAATCTTTCTTCATCAAATCAACATCCAACACATGTAGTACAAATGGCGCAACACCTATACCAGAGATATGGAAAATTCTACTACCAATAAAAACAACTCATATGAGGTGACATAACTATAGAAATCAAATGTCGGGAGTTGTGTAACTACATTGATATGATTATGAACAGTGATAATTTATGCTCGAAACGTCATCAAGTAAATAATACTGGATCAATGTGTGCTATATATCAAATAAACAAATGTGGTATAGTATTGCATTCTACCACAGTGCCCAAGTTTTACACCTATATATTTAGCTAAGTTCTTAAGTTCCGCTATTCTGACTCCGACCGACTGATGCGACTTATGTACTTGACCTAGCAGTCACTACATGGAATTTGATAGATTAAATTATTTTGCTTGCTTGGTTCTATCGGATACTTAAGCCATTCGACAAAGCTTATCTCTGCTGAGTTAGTTTTCACGTTTAAATGCCACCATATTTCCAACTTTGTTGAGAATCCTACGTAAAGTTTCTAATGCGCTTTCGTTGTAGGGCAACACAATGGAGGCTGTGAACTCTTTTCTGCTTGTGTTGTCGTTATTATTCGTACTCGGGTTACTGTTATCTTTTCTTTTCTTATGTGTTCTTACGAATTTGTTAATGAACTGTAGAGGATAATTATTCACTAATAGTGCTTCTTTTATATGTTTTAGTTCCTTGTTTAGGTCCTTGCACTGACTAATCAGTTTTCTAGCTCTATCATTTAGATATTTGACTAAACCAGCCTTAACTGACATCGGATGTGATGACCTGAAGTTTAGACACCTGTTGGAATGTGTCAGTTTTCCATAGACGATAGTATCCAAACCACCATCTGTTCTCTTTTTTATCCTTCAATCCAACATGCATAATTCTCCTTGTTTATTTTATACTTCGTAAGTGAATTAGATTACGCCTACCACTGAGTTTATATGTCTGAGGAAATTGTCGATATGTTCCAATTTCAGCACAGTATATGTGTCATCCACATATCCCCACCATATTTTTGATGCATTTTCGTATATTCTATTGGGCTAACAACTACACGCAAACCATATTCAAATCTAATTAGAGTTGGATTTGAAAGAGGAGACAACTGATTGTTAGTCATAGACGATACCTACTGACTTATGTGAAATTGAACCCTCATTAAGAGTTGTGTCTCGAAGTCAGAATTACTATCAATGTCAGACATCAACTTGCTATAAAGTGAAGTTGATTTTTCAAATGATAAATGTCAACAAAACTGCATTGTAGAATATTCATCATTAGTCTTGAAAACATGTTTTGACAAAACCTGGGTAAATCTCATTCCTTACGATAGTGACCAATGTTTCGTGTGAGGCTAAAAATCATCCCCAAGTGTTATCGTGCTTGTAGCGTTCTTTGTGAAAATGTACATTTTTAGCCTCACCCCAATATTTCAAACAACCTATTCTCTGCAAATTTCACAATAACTACGTCTGAAAATCACTCATATCGGTTTAAAGTAAACACTTGTGGTAGGAATTTGGTGATTGGTTCAATTTAATCAACCAATCAGATTAACTTACGAGTGAGTCATTTTTAATCCATTAAACTGACAAACATTGCACAAAGTTGATAAGCTTTAGTTGTGCATTACAAAATGAAACTTTTTTCGCTTATAAACTGAGAATACGATGATAATCATGCAAATACATTTAGGTGAGTCATTCTAATAAGATTTCTTGAGACAAAGGAATAAAGAATGTGAATTTTCAGAGTTGAGTTCGTCAGTCTGCAAGAAAACACGCGAAAAGTAATCGATACATCATGAACAAAAAAATGAGTTGTATCGAAAAACACAGGAAATAGAACAAGAAGCATAATAATCTCACGAGGTTTCCCAATTCCATAATCTGATTTTTCCCGTGCTGTAGTGACAATAATTTTAATGGATAGTCTGATTTGTTATTGGAGCAATCAAAAGAAAGTAGTTGAACGTGCACCTACTTAGTCTGTATATGCATTGATAGTGTACGCACTTTTGCTAGACTATCAGTGATGAAATATACAACTTACTCAACAGCCTATGAAAAATTTCAAACCATTTGGCTTGTTTTTTGCACTCGTAAGATTATGCAACAAGAGTGGTCTCCAAACGGAATATATTCAAAGACAAATTTTTACTTACTTGTCCTAATTTATTTAGTTATTGATGAAGTTGTGACAGACTTCATACGCCGGTTA